AAACCCATCTCATATTTGACCTCTGGAAGATAAAATGGGATTCTTTGTATTGCTTGATAGATTAGATCCATGTACAGTATTCTTATTACAATGGTGATTAAGCCCTTATTTATATAAAATAAATCAATATCTTAAAAATCTCGGGAGCTTACTCTCATCTGTAACATACAGGTACATTTTTCACCAACTTTAAATAAGAAAAGGGGTTGCAGGAGTGTTGGAAGATCTCAGAGAGGAGAACTAGGTACTTGATCCATCTCTTTTCTTATCAGAAGGCGGCATAAACTCTATAAAAATCTTCATCAACCAATTGAGTCACACTACAAGGAGAAAGAAGAGGAATTAATCAGTCACTGTTTCCAGTTCAGTTTAATTCTGATACTAGGATCTCACCTTAATTTGATGGACATTGAAGTATGTAAGATGGGATAGCCATGTTTGAGCCAGGATGAACAACTTTCCTATAAAATAGGAGACAAGCCAGGAAAACTGATGAAGTTTTCTCCAACAGAATGGAAGGGAATGTGAAATACTGATATGATCAAAGTATTCATTTACTGTGTCTCATATTACATCCCTAATCAAAGATCACTGCAGCTTTTGTACACGCACAAAGCCTTAACAAGTTTGTAAGGTGTAAGATTTCTACCTTCTAAGGTGATCATTAGACACTAACGGAGAAACTTTCTTTCTCCTGAGGATACTCAGCACTATCAGTTATTTTTTAAAGTTGTCATTCAAACAAGACTATTCGTAACTATTTATAATCTGTTTTTCCAGTAGTAATGACTAGATTTCTTTTTACTTTGTTCTTGCAAAAGAGAAATGCTTCTAATAGATATTATACACAACAACAATGCTTTAAAAGAGAAGTGAAAAGCTTAGTGAACTCAGTGAGTTGTAAGAGTCTTCTTTACTATAGTTTTTGAAGGAGTGGATATGTCTTCCTATTAATAAAATATATAAAAATAAATGGTATGAAGAAGATCAGCATTTTGCAGATAAAGTAGCATTGTGCCTAGTATGGGGTCAATTTGCAGCATGGATCTTAAAACACTTGGGTTAATATTCTGTCTGAGGTATTCTAAAGTATTTTGTATTTTTCTGCTCATAGTAAAACTTTTGGAAATGTGATCAATGGACACTGTGCAAGAGCCTGGTCTCCATCTCTATTTCATTAGCTCTTACTCAGTTAGATGGAATCTTTGACAGTTCTTTAGTCCTTGGTCACTGAAGAGACCTCTAAGACACAGTCAGTTTTCTAGACCTGACAATAGAACTAATTCTAAATCTTCTTCTATACCCCTAGAGTCTCCTTTCTCCTGTGGGAGTTCCATATCAGGAAGTATATTTCCGAATTCCATTTCAAGGAGCTGTTTTCATTTCTTTTTAAGTGAAGGTCTTGTCAGCTTCACCAACTCACTGATCCATGTTTCTCACCTAGAAAATGAATGCAGCACATTGCACATTTCCCTGTGTGACAAGGGTTGGGCTTTGTTAACTGGTAAGTAGGTTATTATTTAGATCTGACGAATGATTAAGCATTCTGTAACAATGTAAAGAAATTTGGCCTGTGTGGTCCAGCTGCTAGCTGAATTCGATTGCTTCTACTTGAGCTTGATACGTGGAATATTTAGTAGTCTCCAGCATAAAAATCTTTGTTCAGGCAGGAAATGTAAATATTTTCCTACTCTTTAGAAGAGGAAAAGGTCAAGTTTTACTAAATTGCCCATATCACATTTTCAATATTATAAATTTATCAAAAGCTGAAATTTCTGTTATAAAAGGAATATTCATCTATCCACAATAAATATATTTAGTAAGTGACTGTCTAGCATAATAATCCTCTTACTTTTTACTTTTGTCACAGTGTATAGTGTTTCACAGTGTGAACAGCAATAATGGTCATGTGTTCATATGAGTAGATTCACTTTGGCAAGTCTTGTTAGTTGACAGGTATGTAATACACTTGCCTTGCGGCTTTGGGACCAGGTTTCAACTACAGCCTTCACTGAAGTGACTGAAAATCATTCAGATCTCATAACTGCATCAAGTGACAAGTAATGTGAATTCAGTCAGTATGTGTATAGGACCTGATGTACACTAGCCAGTCAAAAATGCTTCCCTTTATTCAGTTGCACTGCTATCTCTGACCATCAGAAAGAAGACACTTAAGGCAAGGGATTAAGGCCAGCAACACAAATCTATCTTTCTAAATATATTCATATCTTTCCAACAAGACACTTATGTGCCCAGCAGCTGTTTCCTTAGCTTTTGGACTCACTGTCCACTAAAGTCCCTCACATATACAATAAGGGCACTGTACTAATTGTCAACATTAACTGCCAAAAGCAGCAATTCTATCAAGTTGATGTTGACTCAGACATGGACTTGTCCTGATTGGGTTACTCTTTAACGCTGCTGGACACCTCTCACTGTAATGTTTTCACTGCTTACCAAAGAGTGTCAAATGTTGGCATCTCATTCATGCTTGTCATTGCCATGATATCACACATTATCCTCTAAGAGGAAACAAGATTTCACCTTATTATATCACATACGAGGAACATGTCAGTCATATGAACTCATGGACAAAAAAGGAAAATGGAATTTATGTCCAACAGCTAAATGTCCCAGCTTTATCCACTATAAAATAAACTTATTAAGAATAAAAATATGGCTGCTAGACACTTCGAGAGATACAGCTGGTTTACGACATTTTTTTATCCATAGGCACAATGTACAGCATGTGCAAGTATGGTTATTTTATTATAAGCCTCTCAAAACCCACTTTGTTCTACAAAATATTTTCTTATACGTGAGAAAGTATCATACAGATGGAGTATGATACACTGAGAAAAGAAACTACTGTATTTTCACTTCCTGGCTTGGTTAGTGGCAGGGATGGGGCATATTGCTCCTATTTGTAACATGGTCATACCAACAGTGGCAGAGGATACTGAAGGGCATGGAAAGAGAGCTCTCATTACATCAGCAAAGAAGGAAGCTGTGGGAAAGGAAGAAGGAGTAATTTGACTGTTCTCAGACTTTTATACTCCTCTCCTTCTCCACCTTAAAGCTTCCTTACTCGGATGGTATATTCCTCTTTTTAACTCACATCTGACCTCTGCAGTTTTCAAGCCTTTCTCAGTCCTGCCACATCTATCCTCTTTCTATGTACTCCACACATTCTTTTTTTCTTTCTGAATCCTTCAAGATGTTTTCTTCCCTTCCTCTACCCCAACAGTCTTTGAGTTTACTGAATCCCAAGGAAACATGAGATCAGGTCATTACTGCTCTGCCCCAAGGCTTTCCACTTTATCCCATAGTATGTCAGTGTTCTCTGCGCTGTTTGCAGCTCCTCCCAATTAATTTTCATATGATGATGTCAGTTACATACTGGAAGTAGCTACAACACTTGAGAGGATGCTATTTTTATTCCCCTTTAGCTTTTGGGTTGTCTCCTCTACATACAAAATCACAATTACAGTTCTTCCTTGACAAATATTTCTTAATAAAAAACCTAAAAAATCTGTTTATAAAATAAATCGCCTAGTGAAGATTACTGAATTGTTGAGGTTGGTATCATGGACATTACTGTTAGTAACATGACTACCATATCCTTTGGACTAAATCAAGATAAACAAGATTTTCTTCAGATAAAGCTGTACAGAAGAGGAAAAACCATGATTTTCAAGTAAAAATACACTGTAGCACAGTCACCCACTTTCCCTCCTGTGTCATTCAAGCCATAATTTTGGGAAACTGTAGGATGTATATTCCTCGTGCTGATAGCTTGCATGTAAGCATATGAGAATCGTGCGTGTGTTCATGCACAATTGCTACCTGTAAAAAGTCCATTTTAATTTATTTATAAGAGTCCTGTGTCTTTTTTTGCTCTAAAATCACTGCAGTGATCATTACAGAAACATTCTATGCTTCCAAAAGTCAGTAATGTTAATGAACATCTGAAATTAGTTGTCTAGAACCTTACCAGCAAAAGTCAGGGGAGCTCACTCAAAGCCAGTGACAATACTTACAGCAGCTGAAGATTTGGGGTTTGGACCAGTGTAACAATCTTGTTCCTTCAAGCTAACTACTATGTAAACAAACACAATAAATATGAATAATATTCATAGCAGTATGAACAGAAACACACCATAATTTTAAATGTTGAATTATAACTAAGTAGGCAGGTAGAAAGCACTAGATATTTATGTGTCTCGGGTAACCTGCATAGAAGTTTGTGTCCGTATTTAAACTGTGAAGAGCATGAATTTCTAATTTGTATTATTTCTACAACATACAGAACTGAACTCATACTGTTGGTGGCATCTGCTTTGAAGCTTCTTTATCAGACTTTTCTGTGTAGCAGCTTGTCCATAAAAGATCCTCTACATACAAGTTTGAGTAGTACAACTCTACTTCATAACTTGAAAGCTACTTTTTAGAGCAATTAATTTGGCTAAATGTCTTGTGAGCTATCTTCAAAAGTTCAACATACATTCAAATGTTAGAACAAATATACTGTGACTTGTCATGGCATCTGCATTAGTAAACAGTGTTTGAGAGAGGCCTTTGATTCTGTTGGTGGGTGAAATCCAGAAAAAGGTGCAAAGAAAATGTAACTTGGGACATTTCTTTGTTCTTTTTCTTTTACATTTCTGACATTATAAATCAATAATAGAATAATTGTATAGATCAAGCATAGATTTATACATGAAAGTTTCCCAAAGATTTAATGTCCATTTTTTTACCAGAAGTCCATTTCAATAATAGGCCACTTAAAAAAAATGGCTACCACTTAAATCAAGAATCAATTAGAAACATTAATAAGAAAAAGCCCTGTTAACTTCCATTAGACCCTAAATGAGCTTTTTAATCTCCATTAATCATGCAGTTAGTCATTGTTTTTATCAAGATTGTAAAAAACAGGGATTTTAATTCCTTTCAAATAAATTAAAAATTACCTTTGTTGACAAACTACAAGCAAAACTTACCTACTGAATGAGGCAGGGAATAGAATTCACGTGTTCAGTCACTTCTTGTTCATGGACTGTTCGTACACTGGTGGAAACCAGAGTAAGATAATTGGTAATTAGTGCAACATCATGATATGTGATGAAGACTCAAATCACAAAGGTGTTCAAAAAGTCCTGGCTCAAGACTGGGGTCTAAGGAATGTAGAAAATTACCTTACAGTTTCACAGAAAGATTTTAATTTTCATAAGAGATAGCTAAAGCATTGGGAAATGTATGATGCCTTCCCAACTATGCCCTATACCCTTTCCAGAAATAATCATAGAATCAGAATGATTTGGGTTGGGGTTGGGGTTGGAAGAGAACTTAAAGATCATCAAAACCTTAATGGATCTGTGAACTCATCAGAAACAACTTGCACTAGCTGTTGTACAGTGGTTGCTGCCCATAGACCTCAGAGGTAGGGAGAAGGTTGCTCAAATTTTAGGCAGCTTAAGAAACCCTACCAAAACCTTCCTGTTTTGGGAGTGATGTCACCTATCCTAATCCTATTTTCTTTTAAGTGTTGCTATTTATGGCTGACATTATTTGCATTAACAAGATAAATAAAAAAATAGAGAACTGTGATGGGTATAGTAGGCAAGGAATTGAACCTTTTTTAACACTTCCTGCATTCATTTTCTGTGTTTGATAGAAGATCTGTATCACCCACTGTGACACTGGCAGGCTGAGATGTAGGTAGGTGGGAATGAAAATACCTTGTGGGATTTTTGGGCTTGGGCAGCACAAATGGTCATAGTACTTCTCTGTGTTAAGATTCTATGCAGGAAACAACTCAAATTTTAGCTTAAAGTCCAGTTTTTTTACAATACTCACCTAAGATTGGCCTTTAAGGTCCACCCTGAATTAACACCTGCAGCAGTTCACAGCAAAATAACTAGTTAGCCCCGACATGAAAATTTTCACTTAAAAAAGCAGGGGGTGAACCTTCCCTCTGGATCAAATGTTCATACGCTCATGAAAGTATCAGGCATTTTCTTCTTGCTTGGTTTACAAATATTCTCCCTCTCACACACAAAAGAATGGGTACATTGCACAACCACATCACAGGGAGCCTGGGGGCAGCAGTGCCATGCGTTCAAGAATTACCTAGGGGTTCTTCAAGACAGGCCACTGGAGGCGGAGGTGACACAATGAATTTGGAGAAAGTGGAGGAGTGCTGGCTGAATAGATTCTTATGCATTCTCTGTATTTAAAATACCCACGTATTGGCATTGACATGAGCTTCAGAGGCAGAAGGGTTGAGATGCAACATGGCATTCATAACGAAGGCTGATAGAAGCAAAGTGGGAACAATACTAAATGGGACATCATTAAATATTATTATGAGAGAAAGTTATATTTACTTTCAAGAAAAAAAAATCGTAAGAACTGTATTTCAAAGACTGACATTTCATTGCTTGGCACATTCCAGCAATGACTGAGAACTGAACAAAGACATTGCAGTCTAAGATCAGGGAGCAGAATATTACATTTCACTTTTTAATGTGTGAGTGAGTTTAGTGTGGGCTGAAGGTAGGAGCTGGTAAAGCAAGGAGGTGCTATGCAACCTTCAGTCAAACACACTGTTTCTGAGCTGCCAGAGACCTTCTCAGGTGCTCCTGATCTCTTTGGCAAAGAACATGGATAGGTGCAGCTGTGTGCAGAAAGGACCAGTTTATTCCTCTGGGGTGCTTACTCTAGCCAGAACAGAGATCTTTGCATAAGAAATGAAATCTCCTAACAGTAAAAATGTGAGCCATCTAGACCCTTTTGTATTTTTTAGAGTTTATAAGCTCACAAAAGATTTCCAGGCTTAATCTTTCAGCCATAGTTAAGACTTGAGGGCAAGGGGGGAAGTTGTGCTAAATATAGCAAAACAAAGAGAGTTTCACTCTTCTGGAAGCAGTATGAAATTACGAAAATCCCTGCAATGACTCCAGGTTCTCCATAGTGTATGTAACACAGCAGTTTTTGGAACAGAGATATGTTGATAGAAGTATTGCTACACAAGTGCTAAGCCATTCAGTGACTAACCACAAACCTAGAGCTGATTTGCCACAAAACACTAGAGCTACCCACTGTCTACATTTATTCAAACACAGTTGATTTGTACTACAGTCTTCCTTAAGTTTCCTCCAATTTCTTCCTACTGGAAACACAATCACCACCTAACACTTGAAGCCCAGTCTGACCAATTCCTACCTTCCCTTCCGTTCTATTCCTATTATGTCCTTTGGTTAAGTTTTCCCAGGTGAAGGCAATTGGTCTTCCAATAGCTGTCCTTGTTCATTTAAGGTTTTGAATAGCATCTGTACCTCAAGCTAGACAGTGTGGCTATGAATATGGCATTCTCAAAATATTTTTCAAGGTTTTGCTAAGGTAATAGTTTTCCTTCCTTACGATATGTTGTGCTTTACTAACAGTAGGGCCTTCTTAATCCATCTTGTTGCAGCTGTTTCACCCTTCAGTAGCCTGAAGGGTGGAAAAAACACATATAACCACTTTTTTATACGCCTTGTTGGTGTTATTTACCACACTCCAGTGTGTTGCGATGTTTTCTTGTGACTGCTTGGCTTCAGCAAGCTGGGTGTTATCAAGTATGTTCAATATTCCCTGTGCTGAGTTTTTGTGATTTAAATGCTAATTTAATGAGTTCTGTATGAAACAGAGGTTGCCTGGCACCCGGGTAATCCTTTACCAGTAAGGTGCTAGGATCTCTCTTCCCTTTGTATCAGTCTCATTAGCCTAAATAGAAGATTTATGTTACTTTTCAGTAGTGGGCCAGCTATTTTCATCTTCTACTGAGGACAACTGAGTGTTCAGTGGTTTGCTAACTGTGCATCAATACTCTGGAAACGCCATCCTATCTTACAGAAACATCACCAGTTTGGAACAGGACACTGTTCAGTCTAATTTGGTAGCAGTTTTCTGTGCTCCTTTCTTCACAGTGATTCCATCCATTCTTAACTTGCTCTCAGCTGCAGCTCTTTGTACTTGTGCAAGGAGTGGGTGGGGACAAAATGCTACCTGGGTGGGATGGTATGAATTCATATGAACTTTCCATTGAGGTAAAAAAAAGGGCAAGCAAGGAGGAAAAGTAAATGCCTCTTTCTTGGGAAAAGACCCTGGGAAACTAAAACCAGGGGAGCCATACAGTAAGAGCTATTGGCCCTGGGAAAGGCTGGTATTGAGTTTTTCAGCTCTATCTCCAGAAATCTTTTGAAAGCAATATCTGAAAATGAGGCAGTTCATATAAAATGTCAGAAAATCAGAGTTATGATGCTGTGGAAACAAAATGGGGGTCTTTATTGCAAACCTCTGCTCTTAGTGTGATAGTGTCAAGAAAATAACTACTCATAGAGGTCCAATTTAAATGTTTTCTTTTTACACTTGTATTTTATTTTGTACCTTACACAGCTCAGTCTTCTACAATTCATCTGAAATACATATTTGAGTTTCCCTGTTAGTTACTGCCCTTCAATGTGAGGTATTTGCACTGACTGCAGTATGCATCCAGCTTAGGTGAATGTCCTTTTGGAATTATCCTTACTGTCCAAATAGGCAACTGCACCCAAAAGCTGCATGCCAAATAGAGCTTAACATAAAAAGGCAATTATTCGCAGTTTTGTACTCCCCTGATTTTATGTTGCCAAAAGTAATGAAGTAATGCAGCCCAGCTGGCTGGTTCTGGTGAAGAAGGTCTTGCACTTGGAAAGTACCAACTTTTGAGTCTCCTTAGGAACAACAGCTCCATGACAGCTGCTTGGAATGTAAGATTCAATTCTTATTCAATGAAAGATGAAATCTTTTTAAATTAAATCTTACATAGATTTTCATTCCCCATTTGCTCAAATCCAAGTAATTTTTTTATCATTATTTAGGGCATAAAAGGACATAAAAATCTGCCCTTCTTTCCTGCTCCTTCTCTCTTCTCTCTGCCTGTCTTATGGAGAAAAAAATTGACAGACAAAAATAGTATCTAAAAAGGGAGACTTGATTGAAAAGTCACTTTAAAAAAGAATCTTTATCCATTTACAAAAGATCATTTTTGATAATCTGCAAAGGAAACTATGGTGACCACCTATTTTTACCCTCTAAAGTAAAACTCTTTTACCTCCAGTTCCAGCACAGGGCTGTGCCCAAATTGTTTAGCCTACTAACAGATTCAGCAATTCACGATGAGTTTTTGCTAAGGGTATTTTTCTTTCTCAATCATCAATTATTTCCTATTTTCCTGCCAAAATAAAAAAGTCAAATGCATTGTAAAACAAAAATGTCAGACATTCTTGCTTAGACTGACCTTTGACAAGCAATATGTTTGTTCTGGTTTTTTGTGAGACAAAGTTTGAGAGAAGTGGGTACTTGACTAGGGCTTATGTAAATGTCTGGTGAAGTCAAACAGCATTGTTCTTGCACACTTGCACTTACCCGAGACTCTTAAGCTCAGCAAAATAAAAATATAGTGAAAACCAATGTTAATATACAAAAGGAAGAACCGACTTTCTGTGCTCAAGATACATTGGAATGAAGAGAAAAACACCACCAGGAATCTTCCTCACCTTTCATCCCTGCCCCTCTAAACTGATGGTCTCTACAGAACTGCTGCATGCTTTGAATGGCAGAAGTACAATGTCTTATGACGTTATAATCAGGCTAGATCTCACTAATCTGGGTTATAGCTCAACTGTGAAGGCTCTTTTGAGTAAAATCATTTCTTTATTAATGAGATTCAGACCAATCTCACTGATAAAAATTACTTTAAAAGATGTCCCTTTGCTGCTATTCAAATGAATGGGAGAAAATGGTGGGTGTTTTAAGAGCTGTCTTCCTGTCATATCAGGATGGATCTCATTAGTGAAGGGAATGATTTTACCAGGAAAAAGCTTCTACAATGAGAAAACATAACCTACCACAGATGAGCAAAATTCAAGTCAATTAGGCTAAAAAAAAATTAAAAATCTCCTCAGTGCTCTCACTCAATAACAGAAGAAAGGACATTTCTCTCTCTCTTAAAAAAAAAAAAAAAAAAAAAAGAAAAAGTAAGT